TTTGGGTGCGAGCGGGTGGATTTTCAGGATTAGCAGGAGCCGGGATGAGGCAATGCTGAACAAAGCAGGTTTTGAGCCCTGATCTTGATGCAAAGCTGAGCCAGGCCAAGAGCGAGGAGGTTGCAGACATGCCAGCCTGTGTCCCGCAGACCCTGTCCAGCATGTGCTCGTGGCTCCCATGCAGCCCGTGGCTTCGGTTAAGAGAGGACAGGGCTGAGCAGAGCTCTGTTTTTTTTTTCTTCCCATGAATGCAAAACAGCCAAGCACCTTATAAACCCACCACCTGCATTCCTCATGGCTGCTCGAGCGGGGATGGGAGGGGATGTGGCCTGCATGTGAGGCCGAGTCTCCCCGTCTTCATCTTGCTGCTCCCCACAGCATCCCTGCATTTTTAGCTCCGTCCATCCCATGCCTTTTTAGCTCCAGCTGGACCATTGCACCCCTCTGCCCTGTTCCTGCAGCCCAAGTAACAGCAGATGGGAGAGCAGCTCCAGGCCAGGGCTGCCTGCGGGCTGGCGAGGCTTATCCCACACTAGCGGGGCAGGTGGTGGCTAACCTCTATTTTTAGCCTTTACTGGATCAGCTTGAAGTGCCGAGCCTCCCCTGTGCTGACCCAGCAGCCGGCTGGCATTTGGAAACGAAGAGCAACGGAGCAACAGAAACGCCAAGCTGCAGCCGAAAGACAGAGGGAAAAGAAAAGCTGCAGCAACCCATCCCACAGCAAGACACAGGGCTGGGAGCAAAGAGGAGCATAGAGGAGCGTATAGCACTGGCAGCAGCACATAGCTCCTTACCAGACAGCACATGCCAGCGGCTTTTCCCATCCTTCGCACCCCCACACAGTTAATGCATGAAATAAGAGTGTGTCTCAGCCCAGGTCCCAGCTCCCGATCCCCCGCCTGGCACAGACAACAGCGTCTTTGTGGCCAAAACGCCTGTTCCTAGGTGTGAACGTGGTGAGGGGAGGCCAAGCGGCTCCGTGTTTGCTTGGCCTCTCACTCCCACCCAGAGCGATGGCCATGGGGCGCCCGGCTGCCCCCAAGGGCAGCACCGGGGCCAGGGCAAAGCAGAGGCCGTGGACACAGCCACGTGCAGCGGTGGAAATTCAGGGGCTCAGTGCAAAGATTCATCAGCGTTTGGTAGAAAAGGCACCTCCAGGCTGGGTGGGAGCCAGGGCTGCACTGGGTCTTGCTTCCATGTGCTGCAAATCTCTTCTCCTCCATGCTGGGAGTGGGAAGGTTTAAGTCAAGGCTGCTTGAGCCAGGCTTGTGTAGCACCCAGCAAATAACATCCTCTGGCAACAAACCCCAGGGAGACACTGGCAGTGATAGCAGACCTTGTGTCAGGGGTTTGCCAGGTCACAAAATAAACTGGGACTGGCCATTTGGCAGAAGGAAGCTCATTTCATAGCACGACTCCTAACCACTAACGTAGGAGGCAAAGCATCCAGTGTGGCAGCCCCTCAGTAAGTCTCATTCCCACTGGCGTCAAGCTGAGCATGTAATCCCATATACATCCCTGCTCCTGGGCATGTCACGCACGCGTGGTGGGTACCTGGCCCGGAGACCTGACCGCTGTCGCCACCGCAGGATGCTTGTGCATTCGCTGCTGAAACACTGCCGCCACCTCCCCCTGCCCAAATGTGTGTCGCATCATCAAAACTGGCACCGGAGGCTGAAAAATAATCAATTGCAGCAGCAGGGAGGGAGCCGAGCTGCTCTCGGTGTTTGGTTTCACTCGCACTCAGCTGAAAGCTGACTTGAAGTTAAAGTGCAGCAAGGGTGACGTCAGGTTTGCAGAGAAACCCTGATCCCCAGCAACTCTTCCTCCAGAGGAACCAGGCTCTTGCAGGCAGGTACCACCCCGCTTCATGGCAGGGGTGCCTGGCACAGAGGTTAGGAGATGCTAGCAGAGGAGCTGGGCGTGTGAACTGGCACTCCCCAGTTATTAGTCCAGATAGAAGCAGACTCGACATCTTCAGCTGCCAAGGTCCTTTTTCATTTTCTGCTGTCTGTTTTTTTAAAGCTGACAAGACTCAGCCATAAGAAATGAAAGGAGCTGAGTTTCTCTTCACTGCTCAACATGGTTATTCTGGGTGACCAAGATACAAGCCTCAGGTGCCCATGGGCTGGGGAGTGGCTAGCAGGCAGTGGCACAACCAGCCAGGGCAGGGGAGTTAAACCCAAATTTTCATCAACAGACACAAAAAAGGTGTTTTGTGTGTCCTGAACATATATAGCTTCTTAAGGCAGCTACTACTGTATTGGAAATGAGGGACAAACCCACCTCAGATGTCTGTCTCGATATTCCAGCATAAGATCAACGCCAGTAATTACACAAGACTCAGTAATTTTCAGCAATAGCCTGCACAGGGAGCGATTCCCCCCTCCGATGCAGAGATCTCACTGCTCTGGGCTATTGAATGCAACCTTCCTCCATTCTTCCTCATCTTGTCCCATGTCACCTCCATGCAGCCACCATAAGAGAGCTCATGCCAATGCTACAAAGAGCAAAACAGTAAGAGCCAAGCAAATAAGTTTCTTAAAACTTATTTTAATATCCATGTCTCATCTGTTGGGTAGAGCCAAAACAGTCTGGCCTGGTTTAAGTTACAAATTCTTCATACACTTTTCTTTAAGTAAATGAACAGTGTGGCAATAGGGTCTGTTATTGAAAGTGAAACCCATATTAACAAGGAAGGTGTCGCAGCCAGAATTCTACTAGGGTTCTTCACTGCTGTCAGCCCCGGGAAAGGCCAACACTGTCCCCAGGCCCCTGGATGGGTGTTGCACAGCAG